GGGTTGGCCGCTGATGGTTTCAATCCTTTTGGTAACATGAGCCTCTCATACAGTATGTGGCCGGTGATTTTAACGGCCTACAATTTACCTCCGTGGTTATGCACTAAAGATCCTTATAAGATGTTGACATTGTTGATTCCTGGCCCAAATGCACCCAGAAAGGATATGGATGTTTTTTTAAGGCCTCTTGTGGATGAGTTAAAAGATTTGTGGAATAATAGAGTAATTGTACGTGACTCAGTTTTGAATACATCATTTCAGATGCGAGCTATGTTGCTTATGACTGTTAATGATTTTCCTGCTCGTAGTAGTTTATCTGGATGGAGTGGTCAGGGCTATTTAGCATGCCCAACTTGCAACGATGCAACTCCTTCAAAGAGGATAACAAGTAAGACTTGTTTTGTTGGCCATCGGCGATGGCTTCCTATTAAACATGGGATGCGAAAAAATAAAAAGTTTGATGGTATGGTTGAGAAACGACCTCATTCGGCTCAAAAATCTGTTCACCAAATCTTAGCTCAACTACAAAATGTGTCCGTCAGATTGCCTGGTAAACATGACAAGTATGGTGGGAAGAAGCGGAAAAGACATGCAAGCGAGCTTAATTGGACAAAGAAGAGTATCTTTTGGGAGTTGCCTTATTGGAAGTCATTGTCGTTACGTCACAACTTAGACGTCATGCATATTGAGAAGAATGTATGCGACAATTTATTGGGCACAATTCTTGACATTGACAGAAAAAGTAAAGATACAGATAAGGCGCGAATCGATCTGAAAAATATGGGGGTGCGCAAGGAGTTGCATTTGTACAAAGACGGTGATCGTTGGATGAAACCACATGCGTCTTATACACTATCTCCTGACGACGGTAAAAAGTTTTGTGATTTTTTAAAATCAGTAAGGTTTCATGATAGATTTGCTTCAAACTTAAAGAAAAATGTGATCGAAGGGAAGAATAAAATTACTGGGCTAAAATCGCATGACTGTCACATCATAATGCAGCGATTATTATCAACGGGGATACGACCATTCATGAAGAAAGAGATCGTTGATGCAATAACAGAATTAAGTAATTTTTTTGAGTTAATATGCTCCAGGACATTACGGAAAAGTGATTTAGAGAAAGCTCAACAAGATATTGTGCTTATTTTATGCAAGTTAGAAATAATTTTTCCTCCTGCCTTTTTTGACATAATGGTACATTTAGTCATACACTTGCCTGAAGAAGCCATTCGAGGAGGACCGGTTCACTTAAGATGGATGTATCCATTTGAACGTTTTCTTGGGTCGTTAAAGAAATATGTTAAGAATCGTGCACGTCCTGAGGGTTCGATTGCTGAGGCTTACATTGTCAACGAAGCTCTGACTTTTTGTTCGTTGTATTTAACTGGAGTTGAAACATGGTTTAACCGGCTGGCCAGAAATTGGATAGACGACGAAGATCGTATTGTTAAAAAGATTTCTGTATTTGATACTCGTTGTCGGCCAATTGGGAAGATGGCCCCTGTCACATTGGATACTCGTTTGCGAGAGAAAGCCGAGTGGTACGTCCTACAGAACTGTTCAGAAATTCAGCAGTTCATTGAGTACGTATTACTTTCACTTTTGTCACTTAATTGTTCATAGATTATGTCGCATCACATACAATTATGTCATTTACTTTCATTCTCTGTTAAACAGTGACCATAGGAAGGAGATTGATAACGACGGTCGAATCATACCATTGGATGAAATTCAATCGAAAGAGTTTCCAAAATGGTTTAAGAATAAGGTTCGTTTATAATTAATTTGCATTAACATTGTTAAGTCATTAAAAAGTGGCGTTTTATAGAATATTCATGTCTCCTTGCAGATTTTCAATATTCGAAAGCAGAATGAGCCAGAAGCGAATGATCAAATACTTTCACTTTCAAGTGGTTCAAGCTTCTCATGTCGAAGTTATCCTGGTTGTGGGGTCAATGGTGTAAAGTTTCTAACACGCAATCGGGATATAAATCGAAGTAATCAAAATAGTGGTGTTTGTGTTCGCGGACCTGATAACCAAATGTTTTATGGAGTTTTGGAGGACATTTATGAGTTGTCGTACTTGAATGACAATTCTGTTATGCTTTTTAAATGTCTTTGGTTTGACACTCGTCCGGGAAAGAAAAGGATTCAACACTACAAAAATAGAATAAGTGTTTTTGTTAAAGAGACGTGGTACGAGAATGAACCTTTCATACTTGCATCGCAAGCAGAACAAGTTTTTTACGTAGACGATTTATTTAA